TATGGGGAGATGCAGGGAGATACGGGGAGATACGGGGAGTCAGGTCAACCCCGCACACCTGCCCGGCGCTCAAGCACGCCGCTGCCGCCCACAGCTCGGCCCTCTCAGGCACGAACCGAAGCCCTCTCGCCGCGTTGTGACCGCCGCCACCGCCGCCGCCGCCCCTGCTGACTCCGCCGCCGCACCCGCCGCCGCCGCCGCCGCCGCCGCCGCCGCCGCCGCCGCCGCCGCCGGCGCCGCCGCCGCCGCCGCCGCCGCCGCCGCCGCCGCCGCCACCGCCGCCGCTGCCGCAGCCGCCGCCACCGCCGCCGCCGCTGACTCCGCCGCCGCCGCCTCCGCCTCCGTTGCGTCGGACCGCCGACGCTGCCGCCGCCGCCGCCGCCGCCGCCGCCGCCGCCGCCGCGGGCAGCAGCCTCCGCCCGAGCAGAGCCTCGTCAACCAGAGGCGTCAGTACGACCACATCCCACGCCCCTCTGCCCTCGCTACCTCCCTCTCCGCCGCCGCCGCCGCCGCCCTCGCCGCCGCCGCCTCCCTCGCCGCCGCCGCCCTCGCCGCCGCCGCCTCCAGTGCCGGCTGCCGCGAGGACTATGTCGGCGCAGAGTCGCTCGAGGGTCTGTGGCGCGACGGTCACCGCGTGCGCCACGCCGTGCGCCGCCGCGACCTCTCCGATGGCGGCGGCGGCGAAGCGGTTCGGATCGCAAACCGTCACGGCTGCACCGGCGGCGGCGGCCACCGCCGCCTCTGCACCCAAGCTTCCTTCCGCAACCAGCACGTACGGAGGCCGCTGCAGCTCGCTCCTCGCCGCTCGCACCGCGGCGAGCGTGGCCGCCACCGACTGCTCCGCCCACGGCGCGTGCCGCGCTTCCGAGAGCCGGCGGTAAGGCTCGAGCGCCTCTGCTCTCTCGTCGAGCCAACTGAGCAGAGGCCCTGCGCGAGGCCTCACGCCGCACAGCCGCCTCCGGCACGCGTCGACGTCCCACGCGTCGTCGCCGGGGCCGGATGCGCGAGCCGCGGCGGCGCACACGCGCTCGGAACGCCACGGAGGCTTGAGCAGCACTGGGTCGACAGCGTCCGCCTTGACGCCGCCCAGCGCCTGCGCGGCGTCGAGCGCCAAAGCCGCCTCGCGTCGGCGCCGCTCGTGCGCCTCGCCGTCAGGCTCCGGGAGAGCTCGGAGCGTCGCAAACGCGGCGGCGAGGCTCTGCGTTGGGTCGGCCACCATGGCAAATCGGGCCAGTCAGAAGAAAAACGGGGCCGGACGTCTTTTGGGTGCGTGTGGCCGTGCCCACATGGGCCGTCGCCTCGCGCCGCCACCGTCCCCCCCCCCCCCCCCTCGCCCCGCCCCCGCCCCCCGCGCGCGTGCAGACGTCTAGGCACACGCAAATGGTCACGCCGCCTCGCGCGTCCTCTCACCGTCCCGGCGCCCACGTCTCGATCTTCTTGGGCAGCAGCTGGTTCGACAGGTCCTCTCCGTGGCCTAGGCAGCTGTCACCGCCATGGCCCCAGGCTAAGACGGCGTGGGCGGTAGTGGCGAGGCTGTGCCATGCTCCCGCCGACACAGCGACGACGCGCTGGCCAGCAAAGGCCTCGATCTTCTTCGGCAGCAGCTGGCGCTGCTCATTGCCGTGGCCCAACCGGCCAGAGTCGCCAAGGCCCCAGCTCCAGACGCTGCCGTCGGCACTGAGCGCGAGGTTGTGGTATCCTCCAGCCAAGACTGCGACGACGCGCTGGCCGGCAATTGGGCCATCGGCGGTGATTGCGAGGCTGTGGTTGCTTACCGCCGACACAGCGACGACGCGCTGGCCAGCCAACGCCTCGACCTTCGTCGGCTGCCACTGATCTTGCGTGTCGCCGTGGCCCAACCGGCCGGTGCCTCCAAAGCCCCAGCTCCAGACACTGCCGTCAGCGGTGATGGCGAAGCTGTGCGCAGCGCCAGCCGACACGCTCACGGCGCGCTCGCCGCCCAGCGTCGACGGGAGGCCTTCCGATTCCCCGGAGGGCCGGGTCTGGATCAAGGTCAACGAGGAAGATAAAACGGGATTGATCGACGCCCCTTGCCCCGGGAGCCCTGACGAAGGCTGCGTCGAGCGGTTAAAGTGCCGCTTCGGCGAGGCCGTCGAGCACCCAGTCACTGGAGAGGTCATCTTCGAGGAGGAGGAGGTGATGGACTTGTGCAAGTTCGGCCTCCCATGCGAAGAAGTCGACATCGACACCAAGTCGGAATGCATCGAGTACGTTCCTTGCCAGGGCGGGGAGCAGCTCAAGCCGCCCTGCTCTCCTCCTCTGGCACCTCCCCCAACGTCACCGTCCTCTCCGCCGCCGCCCTCCGCGTCGCCGTCGCCGCCGCCACCGTCGGCCTCGCCCTCGCCGCCGCCGCCGTCACCTCTGTCTCCTGGCCAGCAGGCCCCACCGAGCTTTCCGCCGCTCCCGCCCTCGCCGCCTCCGCCGTCGGCCTCGCCCTCGCCGCCGCCGCCGTCGGCCTCGCCGTCGCCGCCGCCTCCGTCTGCGCCGCCGCCGCACACCTGCTGTGACGACTTCAACTCGATCACCTGCCCTTTCATGGCCCTCATGTGCAAGAATGGCGACCTCGACCCCTTCTTCAAACCCGACTGCACGGTGGTCAAGGAGGACGGTGTGACGGCCATGCTTGCCCGGGGCGTCCGTCTGGACCTCGCCAAGGAGACGACCGAGGCCAACTTCAACAGCACAACATGCCCCAAGTGCCCAACCAACATCGATGTGCGCGCCATGAACACCATCACGACATTCACGGCGCCGTCGCCAAATGATGCGCCGCAGGAGCATATGTACAGCACAGGCATCCGCGACCCGGTCGTTGGTATCGGCGCGTTCAACTTTGGCGAGGTCGTTTGCCTTGCTCCCAACGTCGCTGACTGGACTGAGCGTGCGGACGCCCGCCACGATGATCTCGGCGCCGCCCTTCGTGCCGACGCCCAGCTGCTGCGGCACGTTGCAGCGGCGGTCGGCGGCGTGGCCGGCAGCGACGAGCAGCTCGGGAGGGACGGGCGTGGTGGTGAAGAACTCGCCCATCGCCTCGGAGTACGCCTGCATGATGGGGCGTGACCTCCTGCCTCCAACCTCCTTCCTTTTTGAGCAGGTGTGACGCCGCGCGAGCGACGCTCCGAGATCGCCCGAGATAGCGCGGCGCGGCCCCGAGATCGCCCGAGATAGCGCGAGATCGCCCGAGATCGCGCGGCGCGGCCCGAGGCGAGGTGGATGGGTTGGGAGCGAGGGGGCGGAAGTGTTCAGTGCGGTAGATGGCGAGCTCGGGGCGCGTGAGCCGGACTCGGCCACCTGCGGTGTCTGCTCCGGGGGCTGTGCAGACGGCTGTGGGTGGACGATGAAATGGCCTTGTCCAGAGCACGCCACAGAGCGTGCCAACGACGTATGCTTCAATCTTTGCTGCGTGATCTTTCCGCCGCCGCCCGCGCTGCCGCCGCCGCCGCCACCGTCGTCGTGGAATCCTCCTCCATCGGGCTTCAGTGAGGGGTACTTCATCGTTGCGATTTCAACTTCTTTCGCAAGCTTCGTGGTTTTCCCCCAGGAACCAATCAGGCCTACCGGGCTTCCGATTGCATACTTGAGCATCATCCTTTTCTTCTGCGTGTATGCCCTACTGGTTGTTCTGACTCTCGCCGATTCATTCACCGACTACGGACGTAACGGGCCGGGATCACCCAGCCTACCGGTGCTCTTGGTCTGGTACGCTTTTCTTCTCAAAGTACCGATCTTCTTAATTCGAATTAAGAGAGTCAGTCTTCGAATCAAGACCCTAATTCTTAAATGGCATTTCGTTGCTGTTCCTGGCAAGGATTGGTCGTGCTTCATCGCTTTGCAAGTGATTTGGATCACCGCCATTTGGGCTTTCAACGGAGGAGTATTGGAATGGGATGCGAAACCCAGGAAATGCTTTGTCAATGCTTTGGCGTGGCTCTCTCGCGACAATTGCGCCCAGCTGGCCTCAATAGCAACCAGCAGAACGACTGGGCTAGTCCAGTTCTTGGTATCCTGCGTAAAGGTACCTTGGGGGCAAGCATACGACAAGGTTCCTTACGCCCATCTGCCAGGCATGCCCCCCATCTCGCGCCTCTCCGCGATCCCCACCGACGACGGCGTGCTCGGCCCGATCACCGGCGTGCTTGAGTCGCCACTGCTCGACCTGATGACGGCGGTGGGGCAGACGGGCGTCGCCGACGTCGATGTGCACGCCCACATGGCTCTAGAGAAGGCGGAGGAGCTACAGACCAGCGGCCAGTTGGGCGGGCTGACCGTCAACGAGGCGGCGGCGCTCGCTCTCTACACGGCGGAGAGCGAGTTCTATCGCACGCTCAACCACCTGCTGCGCCAGCGCGATCGGACGGCGCTCAAGCCCTTCTTCCCCTACCTGCGACTCGTGCTACAGGCGCGCGGCAAGCTGGCCAAGTATACGCGACCGGTTTGGCGCGGAGTGAAGCGTATCGACCTGACTGGCCAATTCCCAAAGGGCAAGAAGCTCTTCTGGTGGGCTTTCACCTCCACGAGCAAGAACGTGTCGACGCTGCTCAACCCGATGTTCTGTGGCGCGAGCGGCACGCGCACGCAGTTCATGATTGAGGCCTCTAGCGGTGTCGATATTGAGCTCTTCTCAATGGTCGACTCGGAGGCGGAGGTGCTGCTATTCCCGGGTACCAAGTTCGAGGTCGTCGACACTGCCGACATGGGTCACGGGTTGTATCAAGTGCACATGCGCGAGCTCGCTGTGCCTGTGCAGCTCTTCAAGTAACATATGAAAACATGTACATTTGCATTTTTGCATGTGCATGTTAAGTGTGTTCAAAGTAAAAAATCCCGCCATCTAACTGCCATGTCACGGCCGGTCGGCTGCTGTTCTCGCCTCGCTGGCGGCGCGGTCTGGTGCCGCGGCGCCCAGCTATCTCCTGTGGGCTCGCGGCGGCTCGCCGCCGCGGTGCCGAACAATGTGATCAGTCCGGATAGACCCGGCGTGCCGCCGGTGCCGCTTCCTCGCCGATTTTTGGCTCGACCAGTTTGTCGACAAACCTGTGCCAGAGCCCCTGCTGCTCGACTGAGCGGCGGAGCCGGCCCTTCGCGGCCGAGATGCGATGCGCCGACACCGGGGGGCTACGGCTCGGGACCGTTTCCAGGCTCTCTCGAGCAACCTCAAATTTTGATGATTTCATGCTCGCCACTTTGCTGCACACTTTGACCTCAACCCGCGGCCCGCTGCGCGGCTCTTCGAGCGCGAGAGGTGGCGTCTGCGAGGCGGCGGCGAGCGCAGGCGGCGCAGGCGGCGGCGGCGCGGCGGCGCGGCGGCGGATCGCGGCGCTGACAACGGCAGCAATCTGCGGCAGGCCGCTGCTTGCTGCTGCAGCTGCAGCTGCTGCCGCTGCTGCTCCGCTGATTGTGGACACGATTCCTCCGATCACCCCGCCCGCCCGCCCCGCCCCGCCCGCCCGCCTCTCCCCGCCCGCCCGCCCGCCCGCCCGACCACCCATTCCCATCACCATCTCACATACCTTCATATAGGCGCTCGAGACCTCCTCTCGCTGCCTACTCGCTGCCTCGAGGGAGGAGGGGAAGACGTAGGGCTGCATGCGCGCCTTTCCTGAGGCCCCTCCCCGAAAGGCAAGTATTAGCCACATGAAACCGAGACCCCTCCCCACCACCCCAATCCCCCCACCCCCTTGCTCCCCTCCCCCCCTCGGGAGGGCCGAACTGAGGCGCCCGTGGGGACCCCGCAATTCCTTCCCCCCTCGGAGGGGGCCGGACGAGGCGTACCCCGAGGGCCCCACTCTTTCCTTCGCATAGCGGCCACTCTTCGGATCGCTGGTCGAGCGACCCGGGGGATGCCCCGCGCGCCTGACCCAGGCGCGAAAAACGAATCTGCGAGGCGTGGCCGCTCATGCGGCCCGATGGGGAGGAACGGGGCGAGCCCCCCCTCCAACCCACCCGCGCTAGGTCCTGGGTGACGTAGGGGAAACCCGGCGAGCCTCGGGAACTAGCCGGGGCAGTCGGAGAAGGGGCAACTCCGTGCACTGACGGTCGGCCGTCAGAAAACACGCCTCCGTGGCTCGGGTTACACCAATCCTCGCTACCCAACGCGGCCAAAGGAAAAGAAAGAAAGAAAGAAAACACACAACCCAAGGGAGGGATGGGAGGACGGCACGCCGCCACCACACAGGGATTTTAAGGAGAGGAGGGTGTGATGCGCTAGCCGTCGCCCACCCTGGGGAGTCTGCCTCTTCGTATCTCTTTTCGCAGTCTCTCGCCACTTCTCCTGCAACCTTCATGCCACCTCGCGGCCGTCCCACTCTCGTCGTTCTCTCCCTTGTCACTTATCCACACACACACTCACTATCCACCTCGAGAACCTCCAGAGACTTTTTTTTTTCTGGGAACGCTTCCGCTGGCGCCTTCCAAGCGAGCCGCGGCACTCGCCTTTGCTTTGGGTTGCTTTGCAGCCCTCGCAGCCCCACGCCCGATGTTATCCGACCTCGCCGACGATCTCATCCGCCACATCATCGATAAGGCAGGCCTGTCCGAAGCGGCCAAGTTAAAGGCTGCAAGCCGCCAAATGCGCCGCCTTGCGAGCAAGTGTGTCGAGCGTCGCCTCAAGCGCCACCGCACCGCCCTCAAGACTCTTGCGACGAAGCTCAGCGAGGAGGCGTCGACGATGATCAAGGAGACGCTTGGTCACTGCAAGTGGCCGACAGTGCTTGATCTAAGTGATATGAAGTATAGCAGCATTGCCGATCTAAGTGGTATGGAGTATAGCAGCTTTACCGACGTCGCTGCAATTGCCGACACGCTCACGGGCAACGAGGTGCTGACCGACCTGAATCTGTCGGGCAACAACATCGGCGGCGGGACCGGCTGGATCAAGGCGAGCGAGGTTAAGGGCGAGTCAAAGGAGGTCGGGGCTAAGGTGATCTACCGGGCGCGAGATGGTCGTGAGCGAGGGGGTGGACTACGACGGCGAGCTGAAGCTGGTCAATGTAGTGCAGACGGGCGTACTCGCGATCGCCGACGCCCTCAAGGGCAACGGGGTGCTGACCACCCTCGCGCTCCCGGACAACAACATCGGCCCCGGAGGCGCCGCCGCGATCGCCGAGGCGCTGCGCGGTAACGTGGTGCTGACCTCCTTGGACGTGGGTGGCAACGACCTCACCGAGGAGGCAGCCCTCAGCATCGTCCGCGTCGAGCGGCAGCGCAACAAGCTGACCTCCCTGGGCTTGGCTCACTGCAGCATCGGCCCGACTGGCGCGGCAGAGATCGCCGACTACGTGTCGGGCAGCAGGGTCCTGACCGAGCTCAACCTCGACAACAACAACATCCGCGATGAGAGCGCCGCCGCAATCGCCGAGGCGCTGCGCGGCAACAGGGTGCTGAAAGATCTCTCGATTGCCTACAAAAATTAAGATCCCTTGGGAGGCGGCGAAGCAGCTTGCCTACCGGTGCTCTTGGTCTGGTACGCTTTTCTTCTCAAAGTACCGATCTTCTTAATTCGAATTAAGAGAGTCAGTCTTCGAATCAAGACCCTAATTCTTAAATGGCATTTCGTTGCTGTTCCTGGCAAGGATTGGTCGTGCTTCATCGCTTTGCAAGTGATTTGGATCACCGCCATTTGGGCTTTCAACGGAGGAGTATTGGAATGGGATGCGAAACCCGGGAAATGCTTTGTCAATGCTTTGGCGTGGCTCTCTCGCGACAATTGCGCCCAGCTGGCCTCAATAGCAACCAGCAGAACATGCCCCCCATCTCGCGCCTCTCCGCGATCCCCACCGACGACGGCGCGCTCGGCCCGATCACCGGCGTGCTCGAGTCGCCACTGCTCGACCTGATGACGGCGGTGGGGCAGACGGGCGTCGCCGACGTCGATGTGCACGCCCACATGGCTCTAGAGAAGGCGGAGGAGCTACAGACCAGCGGCCAGTTGGGCGGGCTGACCGTCAACGAGGCGGCGGCGCTCGCTCTCTACACGGCGGAGAGCGAGTTCTATCGCACGCTCAACCACCTGCTGCGCCAGCGCGATCGGACGGCGCTCAAGCCCTTCTTCCCCTACCTGCGACTCGTGCTACAGGCGCGCGGCAAGCTGGCCAAGTATACGCGACCGGTGTGGCGCGGTGTGAAGGATATCGACATGACTGGCAAATTCCCAAAGGGCAAGAAGCTCTTCTGGTGGGCTTTCACCTCCACGAGCAAGAACGTGTCGACGCTGCTCAACCCGATGTTCTGTGGCGCGAGCGGCACGCGCACGCAGTTCATGATTGAGGCCTCTAGCGGTGTCGATATTGCGCTCTTCTCAATGGTCGACAAGGAGGAGGAGGTGCTGCTATTCCCGGGTACCAAGTTCGAGCGGAGGTCGTCGACACTGCCAACATGGGTCACGGGTTGTATCAAGTGCACATGCGCGAGCTCGCTGTGCCTGTGCAGCTCTTCAAGTAACATCTAAAAATATGTACATTTGCATGTGCATGTTTAAGTGTGTGCATGACGACCACGTGCAGCAGACGCCACTTGCCAGATCGCAGTGAGACGCTCACAGTGACTCGGTCACAGTGGTGTGGAGGCTGGAGCAGTCTGTTGCGCCAGCGCCGGCGCAGGAGGAAAAGAGGGAGATGCGCGGGGGAAAGGGCGCGCGTCGTGTTGTGCGCGAAGCAGCCAGCCAAGCCACTTTTCTTCATATCTGGGGCCTCCGGCGCCAGTGCGAAGTCTAGTCGCCTACGGGCACGCCCTCCGGGCATACTCCGAACTCCCACACGACAACACACGCGCGGCCGGCGCCTCTCATGCCCTTCTCCACGCACACCGCGTGAAAACCGCGCGTACGTCCCCGCGCGCACGCAAACACGCGCAGCGCCATTTCAGAGCTGTGCCATGTGCGTCTGCCCTGTGCTGGCGCCCCATGGCCGTCCCGCGCCGCCCGCACCAGCTGCGCGCTCCTCGCACCACCAGAGCAAGCCGCACATCCACTCACGCCGCGACGCGCGCCGCAGCACACCTCACCAGCACACCTGCGCCTTTTTGCGCCCTGTGCAGGCTCTGCAGACTGCTTCTGGCATCCCACAAGCGGCTGTACTAGGACGCGCCGCGAGTCCGAGTGCGACGGCACCGCGCAGGCCCAGGCGCGCACGCACGCCCGCACGCGCGCTCGCTCATCCGCCCAGTCTGCTGTGCACAGCCTGTCAGCCTGCTTGCACACACAGCATACAGCACCATGTGCACGCATACGCTTAGACGCAGCCCGCACCCCACTACAATAGCCTGCCTCACGCCTCACCACGCCGTCTCGCGCACACCGCCAGCAGCCCGATCAGAGAAACTGCAGCGCGCGCCTCTGCACGCCTGCAGCTTCTCTGCATTCTGAGACCTTCTCAATCCACCCCGCCGCCGCGCCTCCCCGGGCACACACCGCAGCAGTGAAGATGTGAGTCGAAGTATGGGATATCGACCGAGCCCGCGCCTGCCGCACACGTTTCCGTTTCTTTTTACTGCCGGCCCGGGTTCGGGTTTATCTCGGACATGTTTTTGGCCACACAAAGAAGTCACTGTGAGAGTCATTTTGTTGAAACAAAAGAGAAACGATTTATCACCTTGACAAACAGCGACGATCAGCAGCAACGACCTAGAGCAGCGTCCTGCCGAGTGTGTGTAGCACCGACGCAGACGCACCCCAGGCACTACACTACGACGGCTAGGCAGACCTCACCAGTCCGATAAGGATCAACTGGAAGGTTGAACCTCGAGCTTAGACAGAACGGGCGCGACAGACTCCAGGGGAGATCGCGCTCTACTCGGGGCACCAAGGGGGAAAACCGAAACCGTTTGGGTGCCCCACAACAACCCAAACGCCACAACCCAACGAAGCGCCACACCTCCCCCCCACGTCCCCCCCCCCTTGGGGACGTAGCGCACGCCCTTGCTCGGAGAGAGTGGGGGGGGAGGGGGGGTGGGGGAATAGGAGGAGCCAACGAGCACGGAGTAAGGTCCACAGTAGAGAGGCCGGCATTTAAGGCGTAACTTCACCCTCGCTCACCTCGAGTATATCTAGGCGCCCTGGTGCAGTCGGTCTTCGGATCAGCGGCCAGCTTCCCATCTAGGGCAGGGAACCCCCAGCGACGCTAGTGTGGCCTACGGTAGCCATAGCTTGTACGCGATCCCGGGGCAGGGGGGTGTGGACTCTGGAGCTCCAAGAGAGGACAGAGAGAGGAAGGGAGATTGGTGTGCCGGTTTTTTGAGCTAGCAATTTTTTTTTTTTGTGCGCGAAGCCGTGAATTTGCCATTTTAGCGAATCCTAAAGGACTCGCACACGCCATGCTCGCACATCACGCATGCTGGACAGTCACTGCAACCCACGCGTGGCTTGCACATCGGGCCCCCGGCGCCAAAATCTTCGGTAGCTCGCAAGGCAGCTAGACCCCGCCCTCGACGCGGCGCCCCGAGGGGTGCAGCACGGTGGCGCCGCCCTTCAGCGCGTCGTTCACCTCGGGGTTCTGCAGCAGCGGTATCGCCGAGCAGCACGCGGCGGCCGGGTCGCCGCTCGCGGCAAGGGAGCCGAGCCAGTACTCGTTGCCGGGGTAGGCATTGCCGTCCCACGCGTACATGGCCACCTGGGGCGAGGACGATGGCAGGCGTGACTCCCAGCAACGCTGCTGCCACTGGTGCAAGAGAGTGAGGGACTGCACTAGAGAAACTTGCGACGTGTACTTGTGTCTACTATGGCCACACCAGCAGCAACGGCTGCTCGGAGGACGGCAGCCGCGCCGCCGGGTTGCGGTTCGAGAAGAGGACCTGGCGGACCGCGCCGCAGCCCGCGCCGTGGCGGAGCGACGTTGCCTCCTTGCACTCCGACGGGAACCAGGAGAAGTCGAGCGTGTCGATGTGCTCCAGCTGCGGTGCGAGCTCCTGATAGGGAGAGGCAGAGGGCTAACATGGAAGACGCCAGCACCACACTCCTTTCCCTTCAACTCCCTGTGTGATGGCAGCGAGCCGTCCTCCCTTGCGGCGTTTGTCTTCTGTCTTTCTTTTTGCGGGGTGGAGCTCCTGCAGCGCCGCCTCGAAGGCTTGCACCATCAACGTCGCCTAGAGACAGCCACACGCTTTGAGGCGTCAGCCGTGTGCGATCTCGTGTGATCTCGTGTGATCTCGTGTGATCTCGTGTGATCTCGTGTGATCTCGTGTGCTCTCGTGTGATCTCGTGTGATCTCGGGTGACCGATCTCGGGAGATCTCGCGCGATCTCGCGCGATCTCGCGCGATCCCGGGTGCTCTCGGGTGCTCTCGGGTGATCTCGCCTGCTGGCCATCCACCATCCACACGCCGAGCCCCAGCCCCACCACGTGCGCGTACGCCTTGGCGCCCTTCTCCTTGGCGCGGTCGCTCGCCTCCCGCAAAAAGGGGTCGATGCCTGTTCACGGCTGGAGGGTGTGAAGAGGCGTCGTTGTGCGCCGGCGCCGCCTCGAGCAGCAGAAGTGTTCGATGCTCAGTCGCATCCGCCGCTTGTACAGGTCGGTGTCGAGCAGCGCCGGCGACGAGCGGCCGTACATATGGACTTGAAGGAAGGCGTCCGGCTCCTACGGAAAAGGAAAGAAAGACAGGTCGCTGCACAAAAGAAACCGTGCGGTTGGACTCGAAGAAACGCGTGCGGCTCCTACAGAAACGACATATCGCTGCGCAAAAAGAAGCGGTGCTGCCGCACTTGCAGGAGGGCGTCCGGCTCCGTCTTCCGCCTTGACACCGCCTCATCGTACGTTGGCAAGTGATCCCGCCTGCTCACACCAGCGCCTGTGACGAGGCGCCGTTCACACCGCCTCGTCGCACGTCGGCAGGTGCTCTCGCCCGTAGAGCCGCGCCCACGCCGCGAGCAGCTCCCGCCGCTCCTGCGGTAGCAGTGCCAGCAGAGTCGGGGTGGTGAAGGCGGCATCGCGCCCCGTGCGTACCCGGAGCACCGCGTCGATTCAAGAAGGGCTGCGAGCGCCGTGAATCGCTGTTGTGCAGTGAAGCAATTGAATCGCACAAGCAATTGAATCTGTGTTGTGCAGTGAAGCAATTGAATCGCTGTTGTGCAGTGAAGCAATTGAACCGCTGTTGTGTAGTGAAGGTCCATGGAGCGTGTCCTCTCGATCGCCGAATACATTCCTCCGTATTCAGCTTCTCTAAACCCCGCTCCTCGCAACTGCCGCCGGTGCCGCCGCCGCCGCCCGAGCCGCTGTCAGCCATCGTCTCGGCTGTCGACGCAGCCACACCCGCCGCCACTCCAGCCGCCACACCCGCCGCCGGCCCGTAGCCGTTCTCGGCCGTGTTTTGCTCCGCTGTCACCAGCGTGTGCGCCCACTCCATCCGCCCCACCTGAGGTAAACGTAGCCTTCTCCACACACACGAGGCGGCGGGGGCAAGGGCCGGGCAGCCCTCGCGACTCCACGTCTAAGAGACAGGAGCTGGCATGGCATTCAAAGTGCACGGCCCGGTGCGCGTGGGTGGGCGGCGCCTTTTCGTACCGCGCGCCGATGACGCCGACGTACACGCCCGTCCTATCCTCGCACCAGCGAGTAACGAACCACTATACTCGTCCCGATGCGCAGGGCTGGCAGCACGGGTCAGGGCACCTATTGTCCATTGCCAGTTTTGATGACTCACCAGTGATGACCGGCATGAGCAGCTAGCAGCACGAAGCAAGGCACCGCTCGAAGTCCCCGGGCCGGCCACGGTGGCCGCGGTTGGACCGATCGCCTGCGGCACACGGGCCACGTGCTCGAGAGACTAGGAGCGCTCTCGGAACTCTCTTGGAGCTGTCTCGGAGCTGTCTCGGAGCTGTCTCGGCGATATTCCGGTGGCCGTCATTGTAAAAGTGCGTCGGCACAGCGACGGAGAGGAGGGCGGCGATGGCCATCTCGTCGTACGACATGAGCTGCTCGAGGCGGAGCGGGCCAGCGACCTCGTCCGCGGTGCCGATCCTCTCGAAGCCTCCCGAGCCTTGCGTCACGCCGTCTCGAAGGCGGTAGTCGTCCGACGCGTTCAGAAACGCGAGCGGCCGGCAGCGGAGCATGCGGTCGAGGAGGGCCGCCGGTGCCATGTCGGCGTAGAGCCGTCGCTCGACCGCACTCCCGAGACGCTGCTTGGTGCACAGAAAGGACTCGAGCAGTGGCACCACGTGCTCGTGCAGCACTGGCCGAACCGTTGCCGCGTGGTCCGCCCACTCGCGAGCGAGGGTCGGGTCGGTCTGCGCGCGCTCCAGGTCGTCGAGCGCGGCGGTTGTCGGGAGCGGCAAATACGGGAGGCGGCCGACCGCCTCGTGCAGCCGGCGCACCGCGACGGCAGCGGGCTCCATAGCGGGGATTTTTTTCTTTTTTTTGAGCGTGTTCGGGAGTTGTGAGTTCGGGGAGAATCTCCTGGGGGAAAATATCGAGCTATCTTCGAGCAGCGTGGCGGCATTTAGCGTCGAGGCACGAAGCGACATGGAGACACGTCAAGGGGCACAGTGGTCATAAGTGAAGCAAAACAAACATTGCTAAACATCTCTCTCTCTAAGTGAAGTGGAAGTGTATCGCGCGCCTTGCGGGGGGGGCGCGGAAAAGCGGAACCTCTTAGCGCCATCGCCACGGTGCTGCATGCAGCGCCGGGCGACGACGGCTTACCGCCTCCCGGTCCCCTCGGCACACCTCCGCTGCTCAATGTTTGACGGCTCGAACCCGTGAAGCTTCCCCGTGCGCGGGTTACCCCGCACACGGGTCAGCCTGCCAGCCACGTATCCACGCAAGCGTGGTCCGCGTGCATGGCATACAGGCGTCCGCCAGACAGCGCAGAGGCTAGGCGACCGGGGAAGGACTAGCTCAAGGGCAACACAGCGTCACCAGCCGTTGGCGCGCAGAACGAGTCTGCGGCCCTCGGTTGGGACGAGTGCGCGACGCGGTTGAACCGCTCAATATGGCCGGCAGCTCGCGCTGCCGGCGGGGTTGGTTGGGGAGAACCGGCACGGGGAGGGCCGGCCTCCCCGGAGGGGTCGCCCCCTAAGTTCGAGGTCGTCGACACTGCCGACATGGGTCACGGGTTGTATCAAGTGCACATGCGCGAGCTCGCTGTGCCTGTGCAGCTCTTCAAGTAACATCTAAAAACATGTACATTTGCATATGTGCATGTTTAAGTGTGTGCATGACGACCACGGTGTCCACGCAGCAGAATGCGAGATGCCAGATGCAGATCGCAGACAGTGGTGTGGAGCAGTCTGTTGCGCCAGCCCCGGCGCATGTGGAAAAAGACTAAAGAGGGAGGACGTGCGCGGGGAACGGCGCGCGTCGTGTCGTGTGCACGAAGCCGTGAATCTGCCTTTTTAGCGAACCCAGGAGAATCAAACAAGTGGTAAATACCACTCATTTACCAGTAAATGGCGAGCACTGCGGGGGTGTGTGTGCTCGACCACCCGGGTGTGTGTGCACACGACCACGAACAGTGGTCAGGTATTATATGTTACCAGGAGAGCTACACGACGTGGGTTTTTCTCCTTTCGCCTCCTTTCGCTCGCTTGCCTTGGCAACACTCGATGACGAACAAACGAGTTGAAATTACTCGAAGCAACGATCGTGCTCGAGATCGTGCGATCACCGTGCCTCCCTCGCGCGTGCGATCCCGTCCCTGTACCTCTGCGTGAGTTGCGCTCTGGTAAGTCGCTCCTCTGTCGAGACGTAGCTGCTCGTGCCGAGTTTCTGGCCCTCGACCGGCGCCACCTGTGTGTAGCTGCTGAACTCCAGTGGTACCGCTGCCGGCGGTGCCGGTGGCTGACAGCCGCAGCCTGGGAACAGCTGCTCCCAGCAGCTGACGGCACTCGCAAGCGCGCTGCCCGTCGCGCTGCCCTCGTCGGCTTCGCGGAGCACGAGCGGCGCGCGCACGCCCGCCAGCCGCATCGCGCGGTCCACTCGCAGCAGCTTGAGCGCGCCAGCGAGCGTCGGTGCGCGGTAGAGCACGGCCACCTCCTCGCGGGCCGTTGCCTGGAAGTCGACCTCGGCGCCGACGTCGAGCCCGGCGCCCGCGAACACGCCGACGTGGCGCAGCATGGACCACTCGGCGGGGTTGATGCCTGTGTACTCGAGGATACGCCCGTGCCGCAGCTCGGGCGCACCGCGCCGCACCGAGCTGGCGGTCGCGCCGATGGACAGCGCGAGGGCGGTGGCGAAGCCGCCGCGCTGCGGCAGCGTCTCCGTCCGGAAGAAGACGGCGCGGCGGAACATGCGCACGAGCGCGTCCACCTCGCCGATCGCACGCAGCCGGCCGCAGCAGCGCAACGCGTGGTACACGTGCACCATGACAAGCAAGTGAGACTTGTGCCGCCAGACCACCTTTGCCGTCGTCGTGCCCGCCGCGATGCGCCCACCGAGATCGAGCAAGTCGCCTGCCAGCCACACGCACGACTGCGCCGCCGGCGCGTTCTCTAGGGCAATGTCGAGCGCATCGAGCTCTGTCCGGAGTGCCTGGCTGAGCGCGACATCGTCTTCGATCGGCGCCGACGCGAGAGCTGCGCGGCTGGCGACGCGAAGGAAGCGGAGCTCGCGCATGGCCGTCGTCGCTGGGTGCAGCGCCCGCTCCACGGGCGAAGGGACGACGTCGACGCCGTTCGCGCGGCAGAGCACGGTGGCCTCGACACCGCCACAGCGTCTCGCTCGCGCCGTACCCTCCGATGCCGTGTGCGTAGTTCGCCCACTGCCACAGCGCGCCATGGCTCGCCCACAGCTGCAGCAGTGCCGACGGGTCGGCAGGCAGCTGGCCGAGCTCGTCGGCGAGCATGCAGTGCGCTGGCTCGCGGTCGAAGTCGAAGTCGGCGACGGCGCGCTCGACCTGCAGCGGCAGCCGTCGGGGGTGAAGTCTAGCAGGGGGGAAGCGGCCTGCCATTGCATGACCAACCCGCGAGCGCACGCTGTGAGGGTTCGGCCCTGGGAGCCGCCCAGCAGGGCTCGAGATCGCTCGGAGGGTGAGGGTGGTCCCGGCAGGGTTGGGCATCGCTCGTCCTGCTGCAGCGTGCCGAGCAGTGCCTCCGGCCGTGCTTCCCACCCATGCTCGCCGCACAAGTTGGCGGCCTTGGCGTGCACCGGCGGCGACCCCGCGGCGGCGCCGTCGATCGTGACGGCGTAGCGGCCGCTCTGCGCATCGCGCGTGCCGAGGGTGCCGCAGCGGCCGTTCAGCTCTGGCTTGGCCTTCAGCTGCCGCAGCTGGACGCGTGGCGCCGCCGCCACCGCAAGCGTGCTGAGGTCGGTGTCGGGCAGTCCGAGCGTGAGCTGATGCTGATTGACGATCCGTTCGAGCTTCACCACCGCGAACGCCGCCTCGCTCGCCGCGCCGAGCAGCGTCGCCCCGTGGTCGGCCGCAGGCGCCCACTCCGCCCATACCTTGCGCACCTCCTGCCGCGTGCGCACGGCGTCGGCCAGCAGGCAGGCGAATGCGAAGACGGGGTCGGCCTCCTCCGTGGAGGCGGCGTCGACATCTGCCACATCTGCCGCATGCTCTGCCTCGGAGGGAGATTCGTTGTCGTCCGAGGGAGATTCGTTGTCGGCTGTCTCGATGGCGAGTGCCTCGAAGCCCACCGGGCTCGAAGACGGCGCGGCTGCCGAGGTCGCTTCGGTCGGTGGCTGTGCCGATGCGCGCGGCGAGAACAGGCGGCGGAACTGGCGCAGGAGGCGGCAAACGTACCAGTGTCGCTTCTGCTGCTCCTCGGCCGCCTGAATTGCGCGGTAGAAGGCGTTGGCCTCATCCCGAAGCGCAATGGCCGTGTCCAATGAGCCGCGCACAGCCACTGGCATCTTCTCACCGCGCTTGGCGAGCAGTTCCATTGAGCTCGCCCAGTCGCGCAGGGTGACTGAGCTCAGTCCCGTGAGGCTGTCGCACCACTCATGCACCCGGTTCGTGCAGTGCTTGTATCTCGCGTAGGTGCCTTCCCGCTCGCTGGAAGCCTCCTGAGCACGAGGCGGGGCCGCGCGACTTGCGGGCTCGGCTCTTCTTTTTGTTCGTCATCGAGTAGACCTGCGAGCCCGAGGCCCAGGGCTGCGCGAGAAACGAGAAACACGCGGAGCCCCTTTCTTGAATCAAAGAAATCACGCCCTAAAAACAGAGCAGAAGAAGAAAAACACCTGGGTAGACACACATAGTCGCACAGAGAAGAAGAAAAACACCTGGGTGCCCGACTTTGTTCGGGACCAACTCAAGTCGCAGCCTCCATGATTGCCACAGCCGCCGACACCCGGCCCCGCCGCATCGCCGCCCTTTCGCTTGCCGCCATCGCCCTCACCTGTTTCGCCGCCGTCTACCACGCCGGCGTGCTTCCTCAACCCGACGAGTTTGGCCGCCAGAAGGACGCCGCCACCTTTCAGGGCGAGGAGAGCTGCAAGTCACGCAGCGGGCCCATCCACTCTTTCATCAACTCCGCGGTCGACAAAGTCGTCGCCAGGGTGCCCGATCGCCGTGCGAGCCCGCATCCTCAACGCCTCCCGCTTCAAGCCCGCATCCACACCTCCCGCGCAGTGGCCGCCGCCCCGCCACCTCGCCACACGGTGCGAAATGCTTCGCTCACTCCCACCAGGTGCCCGGCTCCAAGATCTCCGACCTGCCCGTGGAAGCAAACATCAACGTCGGACCCGTCAAGGTCACCATCTCCGAGCTCAAGATCGAGGCGCTGTCGGTCGAGTCGGTCGACTACGACTCGTGCGGCGGCTTGCGGAACGGGCTCAAGGTGACGCTCCACCTCTTGGAACTAGCTCGGCTCCACTTCCTCTCGGCTCCACTTCTTCTCGGCTCCACCTCTCGATACCTCCCGATAACTCCCGATATCTCCCCATCTCTCACGGTCGTCGTCATCCTACGGTGTGCGTAGCTCCCATCTCCCACAGTCTCCCACAATCTCCGACCATCTCCCACAATCTCCCACAATCCCATCAGGTCCACCTCACCGGCATCGACCTCGGCGTCGGGCTGCACTACGACGAGCCCGGCAAGTGGGGCCGCGGCGCCGCCAGCGGCGACGCGCGCACCGCCGTCACGGGCACCATCGACCTCACCATCTCTGAGCTCTCCGAGGTGACGGAGTGCGAGGGCCACCTCTCTGTGGGCGAGACGGAGCTGGTCGGAGAAAAGGCGGGCGACAGGCAGAGATGGGCCGAGATTGGCCGAGAGATGCCAGGAGTGCCGACACTCGCTGAGAATCGCCGAGGTTGGCCCAGAGTGGCCAGGATTGGCGTGACTAGCCCAGATTGGCCGAGGTCCGCCGAGGTCCGCCGAGGTCCGCCGAGGATGGCCGAGGTTTCCCTCCCTCCCTAACTGCCGGCTTCTCGGAGAGACAGGCGGGCGAGCGCGCCGCCGACGTCTCGAAGCTTCCGCTTCCGATCGGCAGATCCCCGCTTCGGCCCGCTCGGCTGTGAGACGAAGAGAGGTGAGCTGTGAGCCGTACCGGCTCTGTGAACAGGCAAGATCCTGTGCTACGGCCCGTCGGGCATCCCAGGCGCCGCGTACCCATATCTTTCCATATCCCCCCCATATCTCCCCATATCTCGGGCATCCCAGGCGACCGGGTACCTCCCGATATCTCCCCATATCTCCCCATATCTCCCCATATCGCGGATTCACAGCCGCGTGGACTGCGGACCCGCAGGCGGCCGTATGGCCCACGTCGAGATCTCCGGCGCGGAGGGCTCCAAGCTCGAGGGCAAGGGTGGCCTCCGAGGGGCGGGCCGCGATCCTCCTGCTGTGAACGGCGCCTCTTCACGCCCGTTGCCGTGCACAGGCGGCTCTTTCGAGGGGCTGGTCGCGATGCTCAACAGTGCGCTCGCGGCGCTCCAGGACAAGAAGCCAAAGATCCTCGGCTGAAGCGGGGAGCGTCTACGCGGTGCCGCCCCGCTGGGCGTGCTCCGAAAAGAGAGGGGCGTCGTCGCTTCCTCTGGCGGCGGTGTGTGTGTCTGACATGACTGTCTGCGCGGAGGATGGCGCATGTGCGTGCCCCCGCAACATGGCGAGGGCGCATGATGGACTATGGTGTGCGGGCGGGATGAACTTGTCGGAAATGGAGGTAACTTGGTGCGGCTCGCCGCTCGCGGTACCTGGTGAGTCGGGATAGGGCAAAATCTGGGGCGAATACGAGGGACAGGGGTCGCAAGTTGGTCGCGCAAGTTGGTTGCGCGGCGTGGCCCGCTGCCCGCCTGCCCCGCTGCCGAGGGCGCCACCAACCCGTGGCGGCGGCATTTCCAGCCCAAATTGGGCGCGTTCCGTGCGAGGGATCCCAGGCGACTGCCTGATACGAGGGACCCGGTCGCCTGGGGATCAGATCACCTCCGCTGCAGCCCAACCCTACTCTCATACTCATTTGCAACCCTCGGGACCGATAGGTCCGACCACTCCCACGACTGCTTTGTTTGTATCGCGCGCCTTGCGGGGGGGGGCGCGGAAAAGAGGAACCTCTTAGCGCCATCGCCACGGTGCTGCAAGCAGCGCCGGGCGACGACGACTTACCGCCTCCCGGTCCCCCTCGGCACACCTCCGCTGCTTAGTGTTTGACGACTCGAACCCGTGAAGCTTCCCCGTGCGCGGGTTACCCCGCACACACGGGGGCAGCCTGCCAGCCACGTATCCACGCAAGCGTGGTCCGCGCGCATGGCATACAGGCGTTCGCCAGACAGCGCAGAGGCTAGGCGACCGGGGAAGGACTAGCTCAAGGGCAACACAGCGTCACCAGCCGTTGGCGCGCAGAACGAGTCTGCGGCCCCCGGTTGGGACGAGTGCGCGACGCGGACGGACCGCTCAATATGGCCGGCAGCTCGCGCTGCCGGTGGGGTTGGTTGGGGAGAACCGGCACGGGGAAGGCCGTCCTCCCCGGAGGGGTCGCCCCCTGGAGAGGGCCCAACGGGCCCCCCCGGGGGGACGGGGACCCCCGCCCCGAGGGGCGGGGGCAGGTTCGTCGCCTACAGCGCGATGGAGTCAACCCTGGTTGCCAAGTCGGCGAGCGTGTTGTGTATTGAGAGGGAGACCATAGCAGATGCGAGAGCGGGGTCGTTCGGGGAGAAGGATGGAGGATGGTGGGGGAGGGTCAAGAGCAGGCGGACATCGCTTCCAGGGAGGGGGGCGCGCTTCTGCTCACACCACATGCTAGGGGGGGGGTCCCGCCCCCCCCAGCGCCTTCACCACATGCTGGGGGGGGGGTCATGGCCGAGGACCCCCCCAGAGAGTGGTCAGACCCTCCGGGCTCTTGATTTTACACCTCATTTTGCAGGATTTTCGAGGGTAAAACCATCCTTTGGAGCTACATGAGCCTTGAGACTGGTCAGATTCTCCAAGATATTGGACTTTCAGCCACGATTTCACAACTTTGGGGGCAAAATCGGCTCTCTGGCGGCTATTCCTAGCCCACGAACGGCTGGGGGGTGCCCACCACATGCTGGGGGGGGTCCGACCCCCCCCAGAGGCTTCACCACATGCTAGGGGGGGGTCCCGACCAGTCCCGACCCCCCCAGAGGCTTCACCACATGCTAGGGGGGGGGGGGGCGTGGAAAAAAACCCGCCCCCCTCCCTGGAAGCGATGTCCGCCTGCTCCAACCTCGATGGCAATTACGCATCGTGCTCCCCGATCATCCCCGATCTCCCTCGCCTGCTCGCTCGGCACGTACTCGGACCATATCGCTTCCATATCGCTCGAACACGAACTCGGGGGGCACGGCGAGGGTTAGCGACGGATGCGGTTCAGGGTCGGTGGCGGGCGAGCGAGGGGTGGCTGACAGGGCTGGCTGGGGTTGTAGCCGTTGGTGTAGCAGGCCCACAGTCGGTGTCGCTACCATCTTGCCTTTCCGAGTCCTGGCCGCCGCCCGCTGCTCCGTGTCCAATGCTACTGCTGTCGCCCCCCTCCGCGTTGCTTCCTCCGTAAAAGTTGTTGTTTTACACGAAAGTTTTAGTTGTCAATTTAGTAGCCGAGCGAGCGCTCGGCGCACTATCTATCGCGCCGCGACGAACGTGGTGCGCTTTCGATGTCAGCTGCCAATGTACCGGCGCACCTCTGCTGCACCTCGCCAGTACGACCACCTGGCGCCGTCGGCTTTTCGACAACCACGTTCTCCTCGGCTTGCCGGAATTGCTCGCTGACGGAACTCAACCGGACCGAGTGGCTCCCAGTTGGCGCAGAGTGGCTCCCATCTGGCGGGCGCTGCAACCGAGGCAAGCTGACTCGTAACACTGTGGTGCACGGCGCCAGCATAACGAGGTACAGGCACCTGCTACTACCGGAGGGCTGGCCAGATCCGTGCCACGTGGAAACCTCCAGGAGCACGCCGGCACCACTCTCCAGCCAGGCCAATCCGTCCTTTGCCCCCGGCCGGTCTGCGCCGAACGCGTCCATCGCAAGGCGGCTGGGCCTTTCGGTCTTGGGAGCTAGCGGGCAGTGGCTGGTCGCTCCCACCAAGCGGTTCATGGTCTGCACCATGGAGAAGAACGGGATGAGCGAGTGGATCCGTCTGATGCGCGCAACCACCGGTAGAGTGGATCGCCGATGCACGGACACCGCTTGCGCCTTCAATGGCCTCCTCGACGACATCCACGAGTGTCAGCTGCCGAGCGTGCGCGCCTTCGCGGCCGAGCAGCTGACGGCGATGCTGTACTGCCGCTCGATCATCAAGGCAGTCGTCGTGCGCGACCCGCTCGAGCGACTGCTGAGCGGCTACCTCGACAAGTGCGCCTTTTCCCATAGGGCTGAAGGAAGAGAGGAGGCGATGCCACTCATCTCGCACTGCCAGGGCTTCTACGCCAAAGAGCTGAAGGAGAGCGCGAGTGCCAACAGTACGCTCACGACCAGGAATCGGGCCCCACGCGAGATCATGCGCGTCCCGAGGTTTGCCGATTTTGTGGCTCGGCTGCACCGCACCCAGAAGCAGTCGCCCGGGTGGGACACTCACTTTAAGCCGCAGCACATGCACTGCGGGCTGGCGAGCAGGCGAGCAGACGTGCCGTCGCTGCTGCCGTCGGTGCACTACCACCTGCGCATGAGTGGCTCGCATTTCCATGCCAGCGCCGATGCGCTCTTCCGACATGTTGGACTGAACACGGCGCTTCGCAGAGAATTCCTCCCCGAGCGCTCCAACTCGGCGCATCGAACGGCCGCCAGCGAGCAGATGGCACGGTACTATACGCCAAGCATCGCGCAGCAGGCCCTCGAGATCTACGCGGCCGACTACGATGCGTTCGGACTGGTCAAGCCGCGCCCCGAAACCTTTGCGTCGAGTAGGTGAGTGAGGCCTTTTACTCGACGTAATGTAGGTACGTTGTATGTTCTGTTAAGGTGCGGTCATGGTACGATCGCACTCGCGCGTCCGGTTGGGGTGCGCCGGGCCCGGCGGGGCGGTTGGCACTAATACACCACTATAAAATCGCGGGGCGGTATTGAATTTCCCGCGGGTATTTTGTGAATATCCGCGCGCCGCGATCGAGGCTCGTTCATGTTCCAAGGTTGTGTTTCGCGGCATTGGTGGCCACGACTTGGAACGAGTTGGAAACCAGCGGGGGGGGAACGCGAATACTTTAGATAGATAGCTCCTGAGAGTAGGATAGCTCGGGGAGGCAACGGGCTGGTTCCTCATGAGGTCCGGAAGGACACACACAAGTCACAACTTGCAGCTGCAACTTGCACATGCACATGTGCATGCACATGTGCATGTGCATAGCCATAGGACGGCGATGTGCATGTGCAAGTGCATGCATGTGCATGTGCATATGTCATGTGCATGCACATGCACATTGATATTGCATGTGTGTTCGAAACATCGAAAAACTATTTGTGATAGTGTGGCGGCGCGCGCGCTGCCGCCACATCGACACCCTTGTCGACACCCCCCACCCACCCTCCCCGCTCGCTCGAGCGCCATCAAGCCCGCGCCTGCTGCCACTCTCGAATCTGCCGGCGCAGAACGTGGATGGTGGAGAGGAAGGTGTGCTCGAGCGCCTCGCCCGTCATCGGACTCGTCGACTTGGTCGCGAGCCAGCGCTCCATCGCCGTCCGCTCGTACGCATGCCCGTCCGCCGCCATCACCGGGTCTATCATCAGCTCGGTCGTAATCGGGCAGATGAAGTCGGCCGGCGGCTCCTCCTCCCTCGCAGCCGGCGCCTCTGCAGCTGCCGACGGCCCTTGCGCCTCCGCCGCCCGCCTCTCCTCCTCCAGCCTCGCGCTCTCCTCGAGCGCCGCCGCCAGCTCCGCCTCCTCCTCCGCCGCCAGCGCCCCGTCCTCTTCCTCCTCTCCCACCGCCGCCTCGGCCTCTTCCTCCTCTCCCACCGCCGCCTCGGCCTCTTGCGACGGCCCAGCGCCTCCCCCGCCGGTGTCCTTCTTCTTCTTCTTCCGCTTCTTCTTCCCCTTCTTCTTCTCCTTGGCGCGCGCCTCCGCCTCCTCCTCCGCCAGCAGCTCCTCAGCGTGCCGCGCCGCCTCGGCCTCCCTCGCCGCCGCCTCCAAAGCGCGCTCGCACTCGGCGTGGCCCTTCTCCTTGGCAAGCTGCAGCGCCGTATGCCCCTCCGAGGTGCGCGCCGCTGCGTCTGCGCCCGCCCGCAGCAGGAAGCGCACGACGGCGGGCTGGCCGTTCTCGCACGCAACGTGCAGCGGCGTGAAACCGTCTTCCTCGGCCTGATTGATCGCCGCGCCGGCGCCGAGGAGCAGCTGGATGCACTCAAAAGGCGGCCCTTCTCGCACGCGATGTGAAGCGGCGTGGCGCCGTTCAACTTGGCTTGGTTAACCGCCGCGCTGGCCTCGAGGAGCAGGCGGACGACGTCGAAGTGGCCCTTATGGCACGCAACGAATAGCGGCGTGGCGCATCTGACATGGGCTTGGCCGACCGCCGCGCCGGCCTCGAGGAGCAGCCGGACGCACTCGAGGTGGCCGTTGTGGCACGCGATGAACAGCGGCGTGGTGCCGTCGTTTAGACCTTGGTCGACCGCCGCGCTGGCCTCGAGAAGCAGCCGGACGCACTCGAGGTGGTTGTTCTGGCTCGCGATGTACAAAGGCGTGGCGCCGCTCATCTCCGCTTGGTTGAGCGCCGCGCCAGTCTCGAGAAGCAGCCGGACGCACCCTAGGTGGTTGTTCTGGCACGCGATGTACAGCGGCGTGGTGCCGTCGTCACTGGCTTGGTCGGTCGCCGCGCCAGCCTTCACGAGCAGCTGGGCGCACTCGAGGTGGCCGTTGTGGCACGCGATGAACAGCGGCGTGGTGCCGTCATCCTTGGCTTGGCTGACCGCCGCGCCGGCGCCGAGGAGCAGCCGGACGCACTCGACGCTGCCATGCTTGCATGCGATGTACAGCGGCGTGGCGCCGCCGTTCCCGGCTTGGTTGACCGCTACGCTGGCCTCGAGAAGCAGCTGGACGCACTCGAGGTGGCCGTTCTGGCACGCGATGAGCAGCGGCGTGGCGCCGTTCTCCTCGGCTTGGTTGACCGCCGCGCTGGCCTCGAGTAGCAGCTGTGCGCACTCGGGGTGGCCGTTCTGGCACGCGACGTACAGCGGCGAGAAGCCTTCAGAGCCTGCTTGGTTGACCGCCGCGCTGGCCTCGAGAAGCAGCCGGGTAATCTCGAGGTTACCGTCATAGCGCGCAATGTAGAGCGCGGAAGCGCCGTAGCCATCAGCCGCCCCCGCGCTCGCGCCGCTGTCGAGCAGCAGCCTCACCGCCTCGGACGGCCCGTGGCGAACGGCCCAGGTCAGCAGCGTGTGTCCTGCGCGTCGGTGTCGAGCCGCGCGTCGAGCTGGGCCGCGAGCGACGTGCCGCGCGTCCGCCCGGACAGCAAGGCGCGCAGCAGGGCCAGGTCGCCCTCGGCCAGGGCGGCTAGCAGTGTTGGGCCGATGGCCGCCGGCCAAATAGCGCGATAAAGAATTTACCAGCAGCGGTCGCAAAGAACTTTACCAAGGCTAGCGCATCACACCCCTCTCCTTAAAATCCCTGTGTGGTGGCGGCGTGCCGTCCTCCCATCCCTCCCTTGGGTTGTCTGTTTTCTTTCTTTCTTTCTTTTTACCAGTCCGACCCTGGCTGTGGTCCTCCCATAGTATGCACGCCCTCTGAGCGGGGCGGGGTGCGCACTGTGCCTCTGTGTTCGTGCGTCGCCCATCTCTCCTGGAGATGACTGCTCTATTTATTTATTTATGTCCTCCCATCGTCGTCCTTGCGCGAGGAGAGCTCGATAAATAAACTCGAGGGGCCGAAATATGCCGCGAGGAGGGCAGAGTTGCGCCGAAAGGCGGGAGCAGCCGCGAGAGCAAGGGATCGGCAGGCGGCGGCGGCGTCGCAGGATGAGGCAGACGAGAGCGACGGCCGACGCGACAGAGGAGGAAGCGCCAGGAGGGAGAACGACGAGAGTGGGACGACCGCGAGGTGGCAAGAAGGTTGCAGCGAGAATCGGCGAGGGACTGCGAAGGGAGATAGAAAGAGGCAGACGACCAAGGGTTAGTTAGGGTGGGCGACGGCTAGCACCACACTCCTCTCCTTAAAATCCGTGTGTGGTGGTGGCGTGCCGTCCTCCCATCCCTCCCTTGGGCTTGTCGGTTTTCTTTCTTTCCTGTGTCGGTGAGAGAGAGTTCTGTTTTGTTGAATTCTTTCTTTCTTTCTGTCCTCCCACCATCCCTCCCTTGGGCTGTCCGTTTTCTTTCTTTCTGTTCTTCATCTTCCTACCTAACCTAAGCACGACACTGGGCATGCACATATACACACATACTGGGCACGGGACTGGCGCGCACTGGCACTAACACGCGCGATAAAAAATGTCCCGAATAGTCACACTCACACACACACGTGCGAGCACATATGACGCACAAAATGCCCGGACACGAGGAGCGGGCGCGTTAAGCCCTGCCCCTGGGACTCTGTCAGGCCTCTGTCAGGCCTCTGTCAGGACTCTGTCAGGACTCTGTCAGGACAGGTGTGGGAGCTCCACAAACCACGTTCTGTGCTCATCCCTGCCACCCATGTGCCATCGGCGCACCGCCAAGGGACGCAGCAACAGCAGAACCAGAAGCAGCTGCAACCTCGTGCAACCCGGCCCGCAGCGCCCGCACCTGCCTTCGCCCTAGGAAGCCACGGATCATGCCTGCGATCTTGCTCGCTGCGCGCGTGCGCTGCTCCTTCTCCACCGCTGCTCCCTGCTCGCCGCCGCCACGGGCCTGCCCCGCGATCTCCTCCGCGATGGTGGTCCACTCGCCCCCACTGCCCACGCGGAAGACGGGCAGGTCGGCGGGCAAGTGCCCCCGCCCCCGCATGCTGCGCAGCTGGGCCAGCGAGTACGTCTCCACCGAGCACTCGCCCGCCCTCGGCCCCTCCACCGCCGCGGTGTAGTAGCGCGGCTCGGCGTCGGCGGACAGCGGCGGGAGGGCGGTGGCGAAGCGGCGCACGAGGCCTGACCACGCTTGCAGCGCCGACTCGCCAAAGCCTAGGATCGGTAAACGCCCAGGTCAGGGGGGGAGAAGCGGACAGGGTTGGTGTCGGGGTTAGGGTTAGGGTCGGGATAGGGTTAGAGCTAGGGACGTCTCCACACGGGAACTATAGGGGGTAGCCCAGGCACGCCTTCGCCGGGAGCCGCGCACGGCGGCGGAGCGGCGGCGGGCACTCCCCTGCTGCGGGGGCCGGCGCCCGGCTCGCAAGCGGCGGCGAGGGAGCAGGAGGCGGCGGTCGAGGCGGCGGCGACGGTGGCGGCGGCGACGGTCGTGGCGGCGGGCCCGTCGGGGGCGGCGATGGAGGCGGCGGCGACGGCGGAGGAGGTAACGGTGGCGGCCGAGCCGGCGGCGGCCGTGACGACGGCGGGGGCTCTCGCTGCCGGAAGCTCGCACTGGGGGGCGACTTGGCGCTTGGGGGCGAGCCATGACCCAAGGAGGGGGCGGGACCTCTGGAGGCGAAATTGTTCTGCCGCCTCCGACGGCGGGGCCTTGAGGTCGCCGATGATGGCCCAGCGGCCCGCAGGGATGCTCAGCTCGATAACGAGGCAAGGGACGTAGAGGAGGAGACCGGAGAGGAAGAGGTAGAAGCCAGGGCCGAGCGAGGTTGCGATGACGCCGCGCCAGTTCGCCTGCAGCACCGTGGCGATGGCGCTAAGAGGTTCCTCTTTTCCGCGCCCTCCCCGCAAGGCGCGCGATACACATCGCCTGAACTTCGACGCTGCACGCGAGGCCGTAGTGAATCGTGATGGCCGCCGCCCAGATCAGAGGCACCGCCATCGACCAGACCAGCAGACCCTTCTTGCCGCGATCGGTCCTCGCGGTGCCGCGTCTGTACCCGACCGCCTGCAGCGCCAGCCAAGAGACCAGAAGCGCCGCGACGCAGAAGGCCATCACGCGGAGGGTCTCGGAGGCCTCGTCGCAATCCAAGATGTCGTTTGTGTACCTCAGCTCCATCCGCTGCGGAGGGTAGTACCTGCGGACCACCAAGCGAGGGGTGCGTGGGCTGCGGGTGGGTGGGCGGGATCGCAACGGGTTCTCGGGCTTGTGGATGCCGCCAGTAGTCGTTGCAAAGGTCCTGTCGGACGTCGCAGTCATCGAACTGCTTGCGGAAGGCGCCGAGAAGGACGTCAACCGACTCGCACCCATATGCTTCGGGCTGGTTGGGGATGCAGGTAGTCAGGAGCGTAGAGTTTTCCGCGTAGAGTAGTTCTCCGCGTATAGTATACCATTCCAGTGGGACCGTCACATTCACTGGGACCGTCACACTCCTCCTCACATAGAGGTAGAGGTGGTGACCTTGAAACCCCGCCTCGAAGCTATGCCGTTCTTTGGAGTAGACCTGCGTGCAGTTCGCTGTCGTGGCAGGCCAGCTCCAGCTGACGCCCGCTGTGGCCGATGTCGTGGACGGCGAGCACGCAAAGTTTGTGCCATCGCGTGCGCGGTACGCGTGCGTGACAAACAGGGGTTCCGGTCCCTGCAGCTCTGGAATGATCACTTTCCGGCCCGACGACGCCTCCAGGAGTGTTTTCAGGAGCCTCAGTGTGTGGGCGGCGTGGTGGGAGTGGTGATTGTCGTTGAATGCGTAGAAAGTATCCTCCATCACATCGTGCGTAAAGCAGCCATTGTCGTCCGCTCGATCGCCGGTGCCGCGCCCGTCCCTGTCTAGGCAAGCACGCCGAAAGCCAAGGGAGTACTTTCCGGAGATATTGGTTGCGTCCACGTCCATGTACTCCTGCACGACTGACGATTCCCGAGCCGCGAACGTCGGCGCATGCGAAGCATTGACCGACCCGACATCGTACTCGTAAATTGCGTCATCGTCCACGTACCACAGCACCCACGGCAAGGAAATAACGGCGTGGGCGTGCAAACTGTTACCAGCGAGCGCAGCGGTCAATACACACGCCAACGCCGCCACCGTGAGGAAAGCCTGGACTAATATGAGCTGACGCCGGTGCTTGCTCGCGCATCGGCATCCCCAGGGGTCAGAGAGCACGCAGCACAGGACGGTGGTGACCATGAAGAGAGCGAGGGAGGGAGAGAGAAAGGCGGCGGAGCAGAGGCAACGAACCTGGACGACTGAGAGCAAAGGAAGAAATTAAAAGGTGGTCCCAGTGGTGCGGTCGTTGGTCAACACCGCGGCGCGCGCGCGCCGCGGGTGCTGCACAACAAGCGGAGAGCATGGGCGGGCGCTCTATCGCTCTCCGGCGCCCAACTTTGACTATCGATTACCGCCGGTTATTATAACCGGTGGGAGATCGTTCCTGCAGACGGAGGGATTCAACGCGGCGATAACTGCCCGAGACGTCCCTAACCTTTATTTATTTCTGCCCTGCTTCAGGAACCGGGGGCCGTCTTCCTCAACCAACCAAACCTCATTACCGACTGCCGGTCGTTGGGGACACGTGACTCCCGCAAAGGGCAGTGTCTCCACCCGGGAGTCGGACATTCCAAACCCCCCAGAGCCCAGTATGCCCCGCCCCATCATACATGCCTTCTCCAACTCTCCTACTCTACCGACTCCCCCCCCCCGGCGAGCCACCCCTTTGCCCCACAGCAAGAGTCAGCGGGAGCGGTACCCCCCTCGCCAGCCCCCCCAGGTAGCCGCCGTACCCGGGCTCGGCCTGCGGCGGCTCCCCCCTTTTGAAAAGAGAAACCCCCCCT